AGGAAAAAAAAAGTCACATGGTTTAACTGTTCTACTCAAGAAATTTTGTACTACTCAATTCAAAAATTACTCTTTTGAGGCGCTTATATTTCATTTCTCACACCTGCAACCAGTTTAAGACAGTCTTAGCCTACAGACCTAAAGGTAACCGCACTGCGAACTGATGTACCTCAGCTGTAGCGTCTGTAGAAGAAAGTTTAAAGCACCGAAACAAAAGCGAAAGCATTCAACTCACATGTGATAACCAATCTTTTCAGGGTATGAAATTCTGATCTGCAGATATACATTGATAGGAGCCGAGACCTACTCTTGGACAAAATGAAAGCACAATTGCAGACTTTGAAGCTAGTATTGTCCATCCAAGCAGGACTTTAGCCAGCATAACAAACCTATTAGAACAAGGAAGGATGCAGACTTAACATCACCTGCCTTCCTGAACAACATCAGACTCAATCTGTTATGTGCTCCATACTTCTGCTGGAGACTATATTTAGCAGACTTTACAGACTTTTCTAGTAATATTTGTGTTCATTCATCTGTTAGTCATGCAGAGTATTACAAACTAAACGCACGCAGATGCTGTTGCCAGCACAGTGACATCTGCTTAACATTGCTGGACTGAATACTGTATCACTAGCCTCAATTTTCAGGTGGGATTATAAAGTAAGACTCAGCTAGACGAGCCAAAACTCAAAGGGTTGTCTGCTCCCAGATACAGATTAGGCCTAATCTGGGACTAAATCACTGTGCCAATGGCAAATCGTCATTGGAAATTCCTTTCCGTCTAGGTTTAGTCTTATTCTACGTCTAGGATGCTGGCCCAAAGTGAAAGAGTAATATATAATGGACATTTCAATCACACCGTCTTGATTACTATCTCAATTCATGCAGCTAAGAATATCCAGCTTTGTAAAGAATCCCAGTGGACTCCACTCAACGCAGCACCACACTGGAATCATATAGCCTTTTCCTACAAGGAAAGAGAGTCTGTGTATCATGCAAAAGGCTATTATTTCTTCCTAATGAATCCTGTCAATCAGAAAGTTCCCAGCCAAGTGCGGTGGCCCGAACTCACCAGACTGCACTGGCACCAAACTCTGAATTAGGCCAAATATAGAACATATGGCTTGTGCAAACAAGATTCAGAGCATTACCGGTTATCCTAGGAATATGATTCTTTAATTAAATCCACACATGCCAGAAATCAAAGATTTGATCAGCGAAATAGCCAGAATTTACCACATTTGCAAGCAGACAGCCATGTGGGTTTATTATTAATCTTATTTTTAAGACTTTTCTTGGAATAAAAACAAAAAATACAAAAAACATGGCATTATCTTGAAGGTACGCATTCGCAAGCAGTTTCAGAATATCTATACTAGATGTCTCCTAAACTAACAACTCTACAATACCAGTTTAAACTGTGCATAGATCGACTGAAGAGTTCAAATGCAATACAAAAGCTAATCCATCAAAGCTCACACTGCAACACATACATTATAACAGAATAAAACATGCTCTAATTTGTGAGAGCAGCTCACAAAAGCCATAAATACGCATAAAAACACTGAAACCTACAGGGCAAGCACACCAAATCTTACTATGGCAATAGTGTGTGTCAAAAAGTAAAGCTTATACACAGAGGCAGTGTCCAGAGAAGCTGTGAGAAAGACACTGATGATAATCAACTCTCATACCAGTAGAACAACTTCTGTGAAAGAAGACCTGCAACACTACACTGTTAACAAAAAGCGTTCTGTATTGGAGTAAAACAAAAGGTTCCACGCCAACAGCGGAATCCCTTATTGCGCAATACAGAAAAATGTTTCTTAACATATATAACAGGTTTTCCACCCTAGAGAAGAACTAATCCATGTGAAGAACTATTTATTCAAAGGAGGCTTTGAGTTGTCATGGATCGATCTATCTAGGTATAGATATATATATATACACATAAATACATACAGTACACCGTAAAAGTAGTGACCACCTTTTTGTTTGTTTTATTTCCAGTCAAAACGGCCATCAAGTGTAAGCTAATCATTTTTCAGTGTTAGAAAAAAGCAGGAACCACATCAAACAGACAACTACACGAAAGCTCCCAACACTAAGTCTGTCAAAACTATCAGTGTTTAATTTGTGCACACTTAGTGTTCACTCGACTGTCACTTTAACTGTTTAAAAAAAAGAGAATTTCAACTAATAAAAGGTGTTCAAAATAGTGTCGCTAACATTACCAGACACACCAGGTTTTCCACCATAAAGAACAACCATTTATCACCACTTAAATATAACCAGTGCCTTTACTAAAGAACCCATGGACCATTTTTAATAAGTCTGTGCAGAAAAATTTTTTATATGAAGTCTTAAAACACACACACACAAGTATTTTGTGAACTCTGTACACATTCATTTCACCAGCTCTGCTCCTCAGCAGGAGCCCATTTAAAAGGGAACTCCACTGATTTCTCAAAATGTGTGTGTGATTAAACGGTTTACAATCTAAATAAAGTCATTCAGAGTGGTTTGGTGTGAAACGCTCTATTCTACAAAAACTTACCAAGTCAGAACTGTTCACAGTGGTGGTCATAGGAACCAGACGTCTGAAGCGTTTAATGTCTCTAAAAGCTCCCTCACAGAAAGTCAGAACATTATATGGGTAAGGATTTGGCCCAAAACCTCAATTTCTATAAGCCATTCATTCAGGGCGATGGGAGGCAAAACAGACCCCAAAGACTCTGTTGTTCACTGTTTTACTATGATCAACATCACATACATTTAAACAAATTCAGAACACACATGTAGGTTCACTGTTCATCATACACAGCTAATAACATGGCAATTTTTGAACTGTAGACAATGCGACCCCTGGTTCCTGTCACCACCACTGTGAAGACATCTGAGATGGCAAGTTTCTCTACAATGAATCATTTCACAACAAACCACTCTGAATGCCTTTGTTTACATATCGATGACTGAATTATACAGACATCTTGAAAGATTGGTGGCATTCCCCTTTAAAACTATGACTTCAAACAAAAACAAACACTACTGATATGTAATAATAATAATAATAATAATAAGGCACATAAGGTGACATGGTGATTGTTTTTAATAAGGCACGGCCACAAATTAACACACTGAGTACACAAATTACTATACTGAGTACATGAATTTAGTGCTGAACGGTTTTGGGGAAAATGTTTAATTTTTCTGGCTAATATTGTAATTGTGTTTTTTTCAGGCCTGTTTCTGGCAAAGAACGAAATATCCAAATTTTGAAGCTTGAACGCTGAGTGTGGCAAATACCAGTTAGTTGTGATGGTTGTCAATATATCAAACATGGGTGTTTTGTTGCTTCTGATTGGTCTAATTTATCTACAGGCAGTTCAAAAGTTGTGTTACCTGGTTAAAGTTTCTCCATTTTAACCTTAAGACAACATTGTCATAGGGTACCAATGTGCTACACTGAAGCCACAATTTAATATACTGAGGCCACAAGTTAATATATTAAGGATACCAATTTGCTATGCTGAAGCCACAAATTAATATATTGAGGCCACAAATTAATATACTGAGGGTACCAAGTTGCTATACTGCGGCCACAAATTAATATATTGAGGCCACAAATTATTTTAGTAAGGCCACAATTTCCTATACTGAGGCCACAAATTATTATATTAAGGCCACAATTTTCTATACTGAGGCCACAAATTATTATATTAAGGCCACAAATTAATATATTCAGCCCACAATTTGTTATACTGAATCCATGCATTAATATGTTGAGGCCACAATTTGCTATACTGAAGCCACAAATTCATATATTGAGGGCACTAATTCGCTATGCTGAGGCCAAGAGTTAGTCAAGACCTCGTGGCCTCAATATATTAACTCGTGGCCACGTCTTATTAAAAAACAATCACCATGGTGCTCCATAACAAAGTTGTCAAAAGCGCTGGCGAAACTTTCAAAGCGGACTCGGAGCGAATAAACCCCCTCAGACAGCTGTGTGAACACAAAGCTACCAGCTGCCGAGCTGAGCTGAACTCCTCCTTCCTCCGAAGGGGGAAAAAGTCCACCAAGTGTTTACCCGCTAAAATTTGGCGCCAGCGAGGTTTTGTCAGGACGAAAGCAGAAAAGAAAGGGGCGATGCGCAAATGGCAAAGCCAGGTTTGTTTATTTGAATCAAACGCGGGTGAACATGTAGTCCCGGCCCCTCGACACCCTCGGCCAGCAAAGTTTCAAGTTTTCGCCCTCCGAATTGAATTGTTCGGTGCTGTGAGAGGCTGAACTGCTAGCTGGTTAGCTTAGTAGAGAACTCCTCAAAACAGAACTAACGGTACTGGAAAGAGGGGTCAGCAAAGCTCGGCTCAAAATGACCACGGCCAGCACAAGCCTGACCACAGACGGGCTTACAAACTGGTATCTGAGCTAAGAAAATGTCCACTGTTTAAGAGGGAAAGGCGATAAATCTGACCAATCTGCCAGCGCTAGCCAGGCTAGCTTAGCATCTCCACAGCTCACAATCACAATAGTGTCTGAGCAGAGGACGAAGCCTCTCATTCGCCAGCTTTCTTGTTCGAATTCTCCCGTTCCACCTTAAATGGTGCAGCAGTTCCATTCTGGTGCCTGAGGCGCCAGAATGGAACTGCTGCACCATTTAAGGTGGAACGGGAGAATTCGAACAAGAAAGCTGGCGAATGAGGGGAAAACGGCGGGAAGCGCGAGCGCGACGGTGTGCAGCGTCCAGCGCAGAGAAACCACCGTTCGGGACGAAACCCGTTGCTTTCCCCGACGTTTTACGAACACAGCGGTGGAGGTCAGGCGTAACACTGCCACCGAGAACATGTTGGCTGGCCGTAGAGAGGCGCTCCCATCCCCCATCCACTGGCGCTCTCTCTCTCTCTCCCTCTCTCTCTGCGCGTCCTCCATCTTTGATACGAACTGGTTAGCTCAGCGAAAGATTTAAGGATTGTTCAAAACTCACGCAAACTCACCTTTTGCCCGCCGAAAGAGTCTCCACGGCGCACCCGGGCGATAATTGGTCCAATTTAATGACAGAATACTTTATGTTTTATATTGTAATTTAGACCTCAAGCGGAACCGCGCCTTTCAGGAGAGAAGCAATCCTAAACTGCCATCTGGTGGCATTTACCGCCACGAAATGGCGCAACTCGAGACTGAGCTCGGCTCGCCCCCTGCTGGACCGAGCTAGAGCTGCAGCGCCGCTCCGAGGGACCAATCGGACAAGAGCCAATCCGCAAGATCCCTGCATCCAAATGCACGTGCGGTTTTATAAATGTATAGAAAGCATAGTTTTGTTTTTTTTTTTTAATTACATATTGCTCTTATAAAAAAATTGTTACCTATTTATTTTGTGTGCCAAACAGCACCGAGTAAACCCGTCATATTGAACTGGATGGGGTGGAATATTTATTTTATATAAAAATCTAAATATGTATATATATACTTTTACTTTTAATATATACGTTTACTTTTAATGTAAGTCAATGGAGCCAGAATTTTTTTCCAAGTACTTTTGGGTCATTTCTTTGATTCATTCATCATGACATTTACATAGGGTGTAAAGAGCAATAGGCATTTTTAATCATGCCAAAAACTGAAAAATTACAAAAATGGAGATATGAGGTTTTGTTTTGTGTATATATATATATATTTGTGTGTATATATATATATATATATATATATATATGTGTGTGTGTGTAATATGTGCATGCAAATGTGTATGTATATTTATGTTTACATATATATATGTATATATATATATATATATATATATATATTTATCTATATCATTATCAAGATAAATTACACCACAGTGCCTCACAGTATGTTCTTGTGAGTATATCGTGGATATTATCAGTAATTAAATAATTAAAATGCTTTCCAACTGCATGTTTGATTACAAAGAGAGCATAATTAGTCATGTTTAATTAGATTTGGAGCAGCACAGTGTGTAAAATGTTGAATACAAGTAATTAAATTCATAGTTTTTGATAATATTTTTAAAACGTGGCTCTCCTTCGTCTGTTCTACCTTATCAGAGGTCAAAAAATAAATATCATGACACATTGTGTGTCATAAAAAACTTTGTGATATTACATTTTGCCATATCACCCACTTTTTAATATATGTATGTATGTATGTGTATATATATACATATATATATATGTGTGTGTGTGTGTATCGATAGACACAGATACATATATATATATATATATATGTATATGTATATATATATATATATATATATATATATATATATATACACACACACACACACACATATCTTCATATCTTCACATCTTCAGCTGTCTGTATTGCACTTTATAACTGTACACAACCCTTAATACAGTGGTATGCAAACGTTTGAACATGCCGTTTGAATTACGTTTTGTTTATTTTCTGAGTGAAAATAAGTTGACACATTCTCTACAGACAACATGCATAGGTTTGGTATTTTTCTGCAAATTATAGTCCATGATTTCCATTTATTTCCTAAATTTAGCATATTAGAAAAAATAAAAGATAAAATATAAAATGTGCCACATTTTATGTTTTATTTTTCTCAATATGTTAAATTCAGCAAAAAGGCAGCAATTGTGCGTTAAAATGTGCAGAAGTGTGCCCTCTGTATTTTCGCTATTTAACAAACCATGTAATTTGATCCATGGGTGCCCAAACTTTTGCATACGACTGTACTTACGGTGTAACTGTCCATTTCACCCACTGCACATTTTGTATATTACTTTTATTATTATATGTATTACTATTTTGCTTACTGTGTATTGAGTAAATATTTTAGAGATGACACTGATAAATATGATAACAGTTTGGATTAAAGTGGAGAAATATTTAGAGAAACATATCCGGTTTTCTTGTTTTAACCCCATTCGGGGAAAAAAACTTTATACCAGGCCGATCTGATGTTGGTTTCAGATTCTGGGATGTTACAGAACAGAGATGTATTTGAATCTACTGATGACACTCTGATATCTTTTGAGGAACTTGTTAATAAATGTGGTGCCTCTCACAAACAATTCCTTTTTATATCTGCACCTCAGGAGTTTTATTGCTGCTAATCAAATACGTTCTTTGAATATTCTTCACGGGAAAAAGTTCAACTACAAAACCTCTTGTAGACAAAACAATTAATATCTAAAGTTTATGATTGTTATCTTCAAACTCAGTCCTCAGAATCTGAATTATTCAAAGCATGGAAAGATGATCTACAGGTGGATTTAATCATTGAAGAATGGAGAACTGCCTGTAAGTAGGCCTCAGTCAGGAAACTCACGCCTCGAACTTCTGCAACATACTGTTAAAGGTTTGGGTGCCCCTGGTCAAAGCACATTTTGTTGAAGTGAAAATAAGTTAACACATCCTGTACAGAGAACACACCTAAAAATGACATTTGCACAGTTTCCTTTTTTTGTGGTGAATTTAACATATTGGGAAAAGAAAAAACATAAAAAGTGTGCCATAACTTTTGCATAGGCCACAATTTTAATGTCTTTTCCCCCAAATATGTAAAATTCCACAAAGAAACAGCAATTAAGCATACAAATGTGCAGAAGAGTGTTCTCTGTAGAGGATGTTTATTTAAGTTTAATTGACCAGAGGAGCCTAAACTTTTGCATATGACTGTATTTGGCTAATAAGAGTCTATTTTACACAAGAAAAGCTAATATTCCAGACCTCTGTCCGAGATGTAGTGAAGGTAAAGACACACTGATCGTAATTGGCAATGTTCAAGAATAGGGGGACTTTGGGATGAGGTTAGATCTACTGTCCAAGATATTGTATCACTTTGGCTGGAGTTGGAGCCGAAACCTTTTATTTTGGGACTTTATTCAAGTGGACAACAAATAAAACCTAATCAAAGAATTCTTATTGATAGCAGCTCTCGTTCAGCAACGTAGGATGGCTGCTCTAATTTGGGAAAGGTTATAATAGGTATAATAAATGGCTTAAAGAACAGGCATGTCATAATTGTTAAATATTCACCTAGTCATAATTATCATAAACATTATTACTAATTTCCACTGTTAGTGAATTGGGTGTGTTTTTAACTACCAGGTTGGAGCAAATACATGTAAATAAAAATGTACTTTCAAGAAAACAACTCAAGTTCAAAAACCTGAATGAAGCTATAAGGCCTTTAGAGGGCAGCGGCGCGTTATGTTTGTTTATTTGAGCTCCAGCCTTTTCAGATGTGAGCTATTAAAAGGGGGATTCCACCCATTTTGCAAACTGTCTCTATAATTAAATCATTAAGATGTAAACAAAGTCATTCAGCCACACAACAGTGGTGATAGGAACCAGACATCTGAAGAATTTAAAGGAGAATGCCACTGATTTTTCAAACTCTCTGTATAATTAAACGTTTAGAATCTAAACAAAGTCATTCACAGTGGTTTGATGTACCCCATCCAAATACCCCATTCTAGAGAACCGTATTGAGTCAGAATTGTTTACAGTGGCAGTGATAGGAACCAGACGTCTGAAAGGTTTAATACCTCTAAAGGCTCCCTCACAGAAAGCTAATAGATGAAATGACAACAAACACGTTGCTTGAGTGCCTGAGATATTGTTTTATGATAGTTTTGAGAAGGTTTTGGACTGAAGCCTATTTTTAAAATTCATTCATGATGAAGGAGTACATGTAGGGTGTTGTCCGGCAAAATAGACCCCAAAGAAAACATGTTTTTGTTCGGATTTACTACTATTTTACCATCAGCAACACTATATAAAAACTCAGAAAACACGTGGAGGTTCACTGGTGGTTTTGGATAGTAAATAAAATGGCTATATTAATGTTGTAGACATGGTGACCCTTGGTTCCTATCACCACCACTGTAAAGAAATCAGAGTTGGCATTTGTCTCTTGATATCACCTTTTCGGATCAAACCACTCTGAATGACTTTGTTTACATCTCAATGATGGAATTGTGTAAAATATTTGAAAAATTGGTGGAATTCCCATTTAATGCCTCTAAAACAGGGTATCCAATCTTGTCCGTACAGGGTGGCTGCAGGTTTTCATTCCAACCAAGTAGAAACATGTGATCAGTTGTTTGAAGGCTGAGACTAACTGATCAAACAAGTGGAATTTTTAAAAGGCAAAATAGATTCCAAAGAAAACTTTTTTTCAGATTTATCACTATTTCACAATCATCAACATTACATATAAAACCTCAGAAGACACGTGTTGGTTCACTGGTGGTTTTAGATAGTAAATAAATGGCTACATTTGCATTTTAGACATCAAAGCCCCTGATTCACTGTACAGAATACACTATAATGAAATGCAAGTCTGTATTTTCATACTTCATATTTCACTATTCATATTTCATACATTTGAGCATTGCAAAAGTTTGTTAATGAAACTTTTATTTAGTAGGCTAATATTTGAGGTGGAATTTCAATAATGGCTGTATATTGTCACTGTCAGAAAAAAAATCCAAAATGATAACTAGTAAGAAGGAAAAAACATTCTTTATTTTTTGTGGAAGTTAATGTGACAAGATTTTTTTCCATGTTATTTTGGTCCTTTTCTATTGGTCCAAAATGTTCATTGGAGTTTTCAAATGATGTAAAAAAGTAAAAATGATGGTTATGTATGACGCAAAAGTGTAAAAAAACACCTATCAGCAAATGTTGAGTCAAATCGCACTCTTTTCATATATCAAATTCTAATTAGACCTGTTGGCTGTTTATACGATAAATATCTATATAAAATGTCTCAAAACTACTAAAGTGTACATTTTTTCTAGCAGTCCAGACTTGCTCATTTTGACTTGCATAGTAATGCATATGCACACAGCAACACCCCATACTAAAGTCTCTAAGTTCAAATATCAGTGGGCAAAATACGGCAGATGTATTTTTCATCTAAATGCTTAGCTATTTTCCTTCAAAGCAGCTCGCCGAATCTACTATGTTATGTTGCTTAAGCAAATAAGTATATCTTAGAGCTGTTACTTGCTATAAGAATGTATTTTTAAAAAATTTTAATTAACATTATTTGATGGAGTCTAGAGATTGTTTGTTCAACAGCATCAACTAAGCATTAATTCATATTCTGTTGTTGCGCAAAAACAGAACACATGATTGAG